GGCAGGGATGGTGCACGGAGCAGGTGAGTCTTCAGTAACTTTCTTGAACAAACAAATGAACAACTGTGAACAGCATGGTGGCCATGGAAGAAGCTCCTGTGAAACCTGTTGAGCATCATAGCAACATGCAAGCCTGCAGTGACAGATTGGTGGTGACTACACATGAAGGCTGGGATTGAACCAAGTCTCCCTCATGGAAAGTGAGATTGTAGTACCGAACCACTAATGCCTCATATCAGTCTGCATGCAGTCAAATATTTATGAAGGGGAATAGTGGTTCAAAATGAAATTCTTCACCATCCTGGATGCTCATCTTCCATATATTTGTTGGAGGAGCTGCAAGGCAGTTTCATCATCACAGCCTTCTGGACTTGGAGTCTCTCCAAGAATATAAGATGAGCAGATAGTTTATCATCCCAACCAGGTCATTTTCAAGAGTGAAAAAAGTGCTATTGACAACTACACCAAGACAGGCAACAGATAATAAACTAGATGGACCTGGTAAAACCAGGAATAAGAGTCATTCTATATAACCATTCTATTGATTATTTTAATTCTCTTAATTTTTCTCCCTTCCTGTTTATTGTTTCTGCTCCCCCTACCCATTAGCACTCTCACTTGCTTGCAAGCCCTTTCCTCCCCTCCCCTCCCCTCATGTCTTCCTGATATAGATAAATGTATCTGAAACACTTCAGGAACCTACAAAAAATCTTCAGTGTTTCTCCACACCCCCCCCAAAAAAAAAAATCTATCACAGTCCTTAGTGTTCAAATTAACCCAGATTTTGCCAGTAGAGGCCCTTTCAAATTGAATTCTTTATTTTTTTGGCATGCCCCCATCTTTGTTTTTGGTACAACAAGATGTTTCAGGCTTTTTTTGTTGTTGTGTTGTTGAACTATGATTTACATCCAATAAACTGTACGTGTTTTAAGTGTACAGTTTGATAAGTTTTGACATATGTATACACTCATTAAAACATAACCCAATCAAGACACTGGGCAGGTATCCTCCTTCCCCTTCCCAATTTCCTGTAATCCCCCTACCCCAGTTCCTTTAGTGTGGCTTCTTTTACTCAGGATAATTGTTTTGAAATTTATCCATGATGTTTGTATTGATAGTTTATTCCTGTTACTTACTAGAGTGACTAAAATTACTTTTTATTGATGAGTAGTTTTCCATTGATGGATATACCACAATTTGTATATCTGTAGGTTCATTCTATTTTTTGTCTTTTGCAAATACAGCTGCTATGACCATTCATGTTTAGATCTTTGTAGGGACACATGCTTTTATTTTGGGGGGGCAGTAAATACCTAGGAGTGGAATGGCTATATTATATGCTAGGCGTTTGTGTAACTTTTTAAGAAACTACTAAACTGGTTTCCAAAATAGTTGTACTTTTGTACATTCCCACAGCAGTGTATGAGAGTTCCAGTTTCTCTGCATACTTTCCAACACTTTAATTCTTGCCTTCCATATGGGAGACTTGAGTTTGATTCCTGGCCAGTGCACCTCATGCACAGCCACCACCCTTCTGTCAGTGGAGGTTTGTATGTTGCTATGCTTATGGTGCTGAACAGGTGTGGAGCTTCCAGAGAATAGGAAGAAAAGCCTGGTGATCTGCTTCTAAAATCAGCCAGTGAAAACCCTGTAGATCACAAAGGGCCAGTCTGCAGCCGATCATGGAAATGGTGCAGGAGTGGGCAGTGTTTCGTTTCACTGTGCACAGGATCACCATGAGTCAGGGGCTGACTCTGGCAGCTAATGACAACAGCAGTATTTCATTGTGATTTTAACTTGGATTTCCATGATGACTGATAATACTGAGCATTTTTCGTGAGCTTGTATGTCATTGTATATCTTCTTTGGTAAAAGTATCTGTTTAGATCTTTTGCTCATTTGTCTATTAGGTTGTTTGTTTTCTTATTATGGAGTTATGAGAATTTTGTTTGAGAATGCTGTTGTAAAAGATTTTAATTTCCAGTTGTTCATTGCAATTATATAGAAATAACAGCCGATTTTTGTGTATTGAGGTTGTATCAGCAACCTTGCTTAAACTCACTTTTTAGTTCTAGTTTGTTTGTTTTTAATTCTATCAGATTTTTCTAAGGAGCCCTGGTGGCACAGTGGTTAAGTGCCCAGCTGCTAACCAGAAGGTTGTCGGTTCAAACCCATCAGCTGCTCTGCAGGAGAAAAATGTGACAGTCTGCTTCCTTAAAGATTTACAGCCTTGGAAACACAGTGGGGCAGTTCTACTCTGTACTATAGGGTCGCTATGAGTCAGAATTGACTCAATGGCATTTTTTTTTTTTTTAATTAAATTTTCTATATAATTGGTCATGTTGTCTCCAGGTAAAGAGTTTGAGCTTTTCCTGTCCAGTCTGGATGTTTTTTAATCTTGCCTTATTGCACTGGCTAGAATTTCCAGTATAATGTTGAACTTAAGTGGTAAGAGTGACCATCTTTGGATTTTTCTTGAACTTAGGCGGCAAACATTCAGTCCTTCACTATCAAGTATGGTGTAGATTTTTTAATGGATAGTCTTTATCAGGTTGAGGATACTGAGAGATTTTATAAGGAATGGATGGTTGGGTTTTGTCAAATGCTTTTTATGTTTCTTTTGAGATTGATCATATGATAATTGTTTTTTGGTTTGTTAATATCATGTATTACATTAATCAATTTTCAGATGTTAAACCAACCTTGTATTTCTGGGAGAACCCCACATGGCATGATGTATTATCCTTTTTATTTATTGTTGGATTCAATTTGCTAACATTTTGTTTAGAATTCTTACATTATGTTTGTAAGGGATATTAGTCTGCAGTTTTCTTATAACGTCTTTGTCTGGTTTTGATGTCAGAGTAATGCTGGCTTCCCAGTTAGTTGGGAAGTATTTCTCTTCAATTTTCTGGAACATTTTGGGTAGAATTGGTATTATTTTTTCCTTAAACTTTTGGAAGATTTCACCAGTGAAGCAATCTGAGCCTGGAGTTTTTACTTTGTGAGAAAAGTTTTAACTACATATTTGATTTATTTAATAAATACGGATTATTCAGGTTATAGTTTTCTTCTTGAATGAACTCTGATAGTTTGTGTCTTTCAAAGACATCTATGCTGTCAAATTTATTGGGATAAAGTTGGTCATAATACTGGCTGTTATTTTAGTACCTGTAGACTCTGTAGTAATGTCATCTTTCTTGTTCCTGATTTTGGTAATTTGTGTCTTTTTTTCTTGATCAGTTTGGCTTGAGGTGTATCAACTTTCATTGACTTTCTCAAAGAACAGATTTTTGGCTTGATTTAGCTATTGCTTTTGTTTTCCATTCTATTTCTAGTTTGATCTTTACTATTTCCTTTTTGCTGTTTACTTTGCGTTTAATTTTCTTTTTCTAGTTTTTTAGGGTGAAAGCTGACTTCATTTATTTGAAACCATTTGAGGCCATTTATTTTTAAGGGGGTTTTGTTTTTTTAGATATATTACTTAAGGCAGTGTTTTTCTAATATGGTATTTTCCTGCCATGATCTGTAATATAGAATAAAGAATACAGTGTTTGTAGTAAACTTTACCAGCAAGCATGGTAAGGTCTTGGCAACGTATGTATTTTCCCTGTCACTCAATTCCAATCATGATGCTATTACAGGAGTTGGTGTCATTCAAGGATGTGGCCGTGAACTTCACCCAGGAGGAATGGCAGCAGCTGGACTCTGATGAAAAGATAATATACCGAGATGTGATGCTGGAGAACTATAGCCACTTAATCTCACTGGGTGAGGAGAGCTTCCTTTTTGAATTGATACTATGTGAGGACTTCCAATTGAATGATTTTTCCTTGAATTTGAAGAAATAGGTAATAAGACCATTTAATCCTTTTGGGGCAGTAGGTACAGTATTTGTATCTTTGTTTCCTCATTGAAAGGTTCTAATTTTTGATAAGGTAAAAATGGGCACTTTTAGATTGGTCCAAAGGACTAATGGACCAAAGCTACCAAGGCCTCCACCAGACTGAGTCCAGTACAGCTAGGTGGTGCCTGACTACCACCACTGACTGCTCTGACAGGGATCACAACAGAGGGTTCTGGACAGAGCTGGAGAAGGATGTAGAACAAAATTCTAACACAAAAAAAAAG